ATTTACTGCTCCGCAAGTTTTAGTATGCATTTTTAAACTTATTTGTAAAATATTTAAAAATAGAAGGATTCAAAGTTTTACGTGCGTGTACGTGCGTACGAAAAACGCAACAGTGGAAATTAGCCTTTAGATCTTAATGTGCGTCAGTTGTATAGCCCCAGCGAGTTAACGCTCCATAGAGCGTCTTGTTTAATATAAATATTGTTGATTTCATAAGGATTGTCATTGTTTTCTTTAAATATAATACATTTTATTTCACTTACCCCCACGAAAACACGATTTCGCCATATTTTGCCGTCTTGTTTGCTTTTTATTGCCGAATTTGGCAAATATCATCCAGTTGTTGGACTTTTACATAATTATAAATGGCTGAAGAAGATTTCAAAGAACGTTTCATCAAGTTTTGAAACAGTGCAGTGTATTTTATCTTCGATATTGTGTCCTTCGATATTTCGTCAAATTGCCGGCAATTTTAACGATGGCTATTATGGGAGGTTTTTTCCTCCCAAGTACAAATAATGTTTTCAATTTTTGGATTGGGACTATTCTACAATGAATTCTACAACTCTTGGATAATGTAATCTAATTATCTAAATACATATGAAAACGAAGAAGTGGCATTTATCGGGCAGAGAAGCGGCGAACCATTAAAATGGCGGAAATTTGACGAAATATCGAAGGACACAATATCGAAGATAAAATACACTGCACTGTTTCAAAACTTGATGAAACTTTCTTTGAAATCTTCTTCAGCCATTTATGATTATGTAAAAGTACAATAACTGGATGATATTTGCCAGATTCGGCGATAAAAAGCAAACAAGACGGCAAAATATGGCTGAAATCGTGTTTTCGTGGGGGGTAAGTGAAATAAAATGTATTATATTTAAAGAAAACAATGACAATCCTTATGAAATCAACAATATTTATATTAAATTAAGCATAGTTTTTCACCCCATGATAATTTTTTTTGGAAATAAGAATATTCAATTTCTGCCAGGCATATTGGTTATTTTATGCATAATTAGCAATTTACCTGGGGTGGTGCATGGTCATTTTCTTGTAAAATATTACACTTAGTCAAATTTGTCCTCCCAATGACCATCCCTAAAAGCAACCCTTCTAAACACTATATATACGCACTTCAGAAAGACTATCGCTTTTTGTTTTCAGAAGTTAGAGCTATGTCGACACTGCCGTTTCAGGGCGGGATTATTTTCAGGACTTTCGTCCCGGTTTCAAGTTTTGACACATATGCAATGTTGACCGCCATGATCATTTTACCCTAAAACAGTTTAGATTACCTGTGCTAAATGAAACGCATACAAACTCATATACAGGTCCTACAATCCTGGCCAAAATCATGTGGACAGGTAGGCTCATATGCGTTTAGGATGGATTTAACGCTATAACTTACGCCCCTACTCCCCCAAAACAATGTTGAAATCGTTTTCGCATCGGCAACTCTGTGTATATCATATTGGACTGCAACATAAACTTATTAATTTATCACAAATATCCTAAATAATATCATGATAACAAAAGTTCTCGTATTTTCACCCGTTTTTACGTCAAAATTAGCAATTTTTAAGAACACATAATTTTCAGACAATCCTGGCCAAAATCATGTGGACAGGTAGGCTCATATGCGTTTAGAATGGATTTAATGCTATAACTTACGCCCCCCACTCCCTCAAAACAATGTTGAAATCGTTTTCGCATCGGCAACTCTGTATATATCTTATTGGACTGCAACATTGAGATGGGGGTGTGGGGGTTTCACAGATATTATGCAATATATCTAAATGTATTATATAATTTGCTACAATTTTGTACTGTCCACAAAGTTTTTGGCCGGGATTGTAGACTACATTGGCAATTGGTCATTTTGACAAATTGTTTAATTAGCTAGTCGCAATTAAATTTGGTTCCTTTGACTTTTAATTAATTGGTCAAAATATTGTATTTATTTAACTGGTCAAAATTTCACAGTTTGAGTTAATTTTAAATTTTGCATGGGTCCATGGAAACTATATTTACAAACATATTTATAGTGTTTGTGGAGGTAGGTGTTTTGGTTAATGGCACACAGGAGAGAAAAAATTAGGGGGGTAAAGAAATTCACCTGACTTTTCTCCGACTTTATAAGTTTTACTTCAATGGTCTTTTTCCCCAACGTCGTCTCATAAGTGGATTGGTCTACCTGGGTCTGGGATACTACGGTGTGTCAAAATACATGCACTGATGTACGGTTGGTACTATTATACTGATGACAGCACGAAGAAGAAATATGTTTGCCATCGCTGTAAAATGTATAAGTTGTAAATCAGGCTATATAGAGGTTAATTGTTTTCATAACTTACTGTAGTAGCTATCGCCCTGCCATTCACAACCTCGTTCCCAGGCTCTTTCTTCTTTTCTGTCATTCAAACCTTTTTTCACAATTTGTTGTTGAATAGTAATTACAACTGGATAAAATCTCGTTCATTTTTGCATATTTTATTAACACCAGTAACATAAACACCGAAATGCAATGTAATAAACCACGGATCAAACGAGGTACAAGTTATCGCCTGCATTAATTATATCTTCCTGCATACTGTTAGGCATGGTAAAGACGGAGGGAATGAACATACAAGTTTTCTAATTGAACAAGTCTTCTGATTAGTCTTTCAAACAAGAATTTATATTCAGGACTTAAGCCTCTTTTCCACTCATTGCAAGAATCAACTCACAAGCTCGAGGGCTTCCAGCCAATGACAGTGCTCAACAGTGTATTTTAATTAATGAGATGCGAGCACTCCCAGTGAGCTTACGCTGAGTTGAAAAGAGCTTTCAACGCCGATAGCGTCTATTTATTCTTCATTGCGGTTAAAAAATGGAATCAGTATTTGACAATGATGCCTAAGACGTCGATATATATGGCACATTATTGTCACAGTGTAAAATAATGAATAATAAATGAAATTTGTCTGTTTGGGAGCAAATATTGCCCGAACCTTTTGTCAACTTATGCCAACTTGCATATTTGTTTATAAAATGCAATAAAGCTGCCACCTGGGGGTTGCCAAAATTGCTCAAATTAACATATATAAATTTGTTATGGTTTTACATTATGCCAATAAACGTTTTAATTCCTCTCGAAAACATGAATTAATTTGTCAGGAAAAACTCAAATTGCAATAGTTTATGACTATCGAAAGCAGACATAACGCCGCTCGCCTGAACAGCAGTGCAGTTATATTTGTATTTCTTATATCGATTGTACTTACTCACTACTATAATAATAAAAGAAAATTAATTTTCTTCAACATTCCTACAATTCATGTGGTTAGCAAAAATATGACAATCGTTTCATTGTGCACTGAACCCATTTGTCCAATGAATAGGTTGTGCTAATGGCTCTATTCTATACAAAAGTCATCATATTAAAAGCTAAATTATCCTAAACCATAACGTATCGAACCGCAGTGCAGATTCGTACTTGGATTTTCGCCACTATGTATACTTGCCAATGGTGAGTACTGAAAATATTACGCAGTCACGCACCATATTGAATGATCCGATACTTTTCGGAATTATGAATTTAGTAATATCATACTAGTTGTGCAGGGAATCATGAGATTTTTATATCCTGGCGAATTTGAACATTGAGGCTACATCCACTACATCCACACGTTTTGAAAAGGCGCGGAAAAGTCACAATTAGCCATCGTGTTCACACTACGCCGGAGCGCGACTGTTTGAAAACGTCATTTTTGAGTTTGAGCACGGTTTCTAAGCGGAACGAGATGAAAACGTGGTGCTTGGCGGCTCCATGTGGTGTAAACAGCGACACAGTCTTTATCTTTCTCCATGTTAGCATTTTTTATTATTTTTTTTAACTTTAGCAGCATTTTTTTCTGATTAATATAGTTTTATTATTTCATTTAAAAATTTTCACGTCTATTTAAGTTGGTATTGCGAAACAGTACAACATCCCTAACGGCTTAGCCTCTAGCGTGAACAGACGTATAAAAAGTGGCGTCATTATTTCGTTCCGGCGTGTGGCGTCATGATTTCGCTCCGGTGAGTGTGTATAAGATTCGGAAAGATCAGTTAGGCCGTTTCCTGGCGTATATGTATGAAAACGCTGAACTGGAACGCAGGTTTCAGATTGTTAACCATGAGATGCGCACATACATGCGGACGTGACATCAGTACATATAATGTATTAAAAAAACAAGATCCATCCATGAAGAAACTGCTGTGAATCATTGGAGGTGCTCTCTACATCGCAGAGAGTTGCAGCGTTGGCCAATGCAAAGGCAATTAATCCGGCGTTTGGCCGCCATGCCATTCTGTACTTTTGCAAAATTGCTGAAGAATTACTTCATTCTTTCATTTCTTTTGATTTTTATTAAGTCGTAATATTTGAAATTTCTGTAAATTCGAAAAAGAATGAAGTCGAGGCCGAATGCGTGTAAAATGCCGTTATGCTCCAGTGATTTTGCATTGACCGTGTCTGATAGTCTATAAACAACTTTGGCGCTCATATAGCAGAACAACTGATGATAAACCTCCGAATGTATGCGATCAAATTATGTAAATCTGAATATTCAAGATGCGATCATAAAGTTAAAATCATGAATAATATTCACGGATATGGAGCACAGGTGGAGAAAATGTAAATAACACTTACGCATAACAAAAAGAAGTGTAAACGCTACTCGGCATATAAAACATTGCTGGCCGTATTTATGTTGACTACGAAATCTAGACAGATTCTTCCGTTACTAACACTGGCCACATAATGGCCCGTCTATGGCCTTTCAGGAATTTGTATTTCACAACGTTAATTGTATATTATTGACTAGCACAGAGTCTTGACACTTTTAAGGTGCTGAACAATCTTATCTCAAATTTGGCTGTTTATTCACGAACGTTTATTTCCTCCGCCGGAAGTGTTCTCGTTACTGAAAACATAGATTCACACTTAACGGAACTCATAGCTACACACAATGGACAATTTCCTCACAAAATTACGGCTGCAAACAAGAAGCATAATCGATAACCGGTCATTCAATGGAACGACATCGCGTGGCAGTTCGCCGCCTGCAATTTCGCCTCAGAAGCATAATCCGTTTGGATTAAGCAGTCAAACTCCAAGGAATCCACCAAGCAAGAGAAATAAAATTATTCTCGTCGTTGATACGCCTGAAACAGACTGGTATACATATACAAATTATTTTCTTTTAATGTTAATTTACCAAATATATATAGGCAGTTGAATTCGCGATGATTGCGTAGGCATTTATTTGTCTGCATTAGCGATTATTGTTATCATATCATTCGTTTCCTACTAATATTACGCAATTTTTTAAGAAATGATGGTCTTGCGAGCTCTATACCATTATTGCAGAAGAGGAGAAAATTAAAACAAAAAAGCAGTTACTGCAAAGGCAATAAGCCTTATTAGTATACGGGAAGCTATAAAGTAATTATAACAGCAGCATCTTATATACTCTATACTCACTATAGAATTAAAAGCTCTGGAATATTCTTCGATCACAAGCTTGTATATGCTTTACTACGTTATACTTTTAGCAATGTCAATCAAATTGTTTAGGCTTGAGTTTCGGAAAAACTTGACTATAGTGATGTTGATCTTTTCAAGTGCGTTTACTCTTGAGGCTAAAATTAAAATCCCAGCTGTTGTATAAACCGGTTGGATATTGCCCAGTGAAAATTGTAATTCAAATTGCCATATACTGTAAAGAACGTCGGCTAGAGTCTTTGAGTATGGAGTTTAAATGGTTCTTATATACAGCCGTGACCCAATTGCGCTAAAATGTAGTGTGGAATTACCTAATTGTTTTCAATACTTCAATGATTTGAAAATGGGAAGGTCACAAATTAAAGCAGTGTTGTTATTCTTTAGCACAACTTAACTTTAATTTTGTATAAAACAATTTGACTAAGAGTGACGTCACTTTAAGAGTGACGTCACAGCAGCCATGTTGGACAACAATTTCATGATCAAACTACCAATGTTTCACTTTCACAGAACGAATAATTGATGCAAGTGTCTCGTTTCAATTCAATTCATTAACAAATATTTCACCTCCAAAAAGGAAAACTGCATGGAAACACTCCATTGTGAGGGTTTTGATCGTTTTGTCCTATACTTAAGCTTTACTTCTAATGATATAATTTGAGAAATGGGCTACAGCTTGCAGGTAACAAAAAGTTACGCCATGTAAAAATAACTGTTCTTAGTATTTTTACACAAGTGAACACAACAAATCCTACAAGGTGATTGGTCAAATTTGACGTATTAATCTGTTATATTCACCTACAGGTGAATATAACAAAATCGAAATTTTCAAAATGGCGGCTAGCCGTTTTGTTGAAGTTAGTGATAAAGAAATAAGCGAAATTAAAATGAATTCAGACCAGAAAAACACAATTATTCGCCTATATTATACCTCGAATTCAAATTGAATATTATACCTCGAATATTATACCTCGAATTCAAATTGTCCAATGAAAAAACAGCATTTGTACCACGTGATAATGTGATTTTTTTACGGTATTTCACTCAAATTCATGATTTCGCAGATTCACCGTGGGATATTATAGTATCCCACGCTCACGCATGACGCGCGGACACCAAGCTCTGAAACAATATGGCGTTCGCGAGTTGTTGTTTGTAATTTCGTACTTTCGTACAGAATATTTGATTTAATAAAACATTTTCAAGACGTATGTTACCTTTAATGATCCAAAGGATACATGCTCAAATATTGTAAAGAGGAAACGTCAAAAACTCAGGTATACATAAGAAATTAAAAATTGTATTCGCGTAGTTAATATTCAGCAAGTTTTAAAGTTTATTCTGAACTTAGTGAGTTCTTTAACTTTCGGTATAATATATCATTTATAGACCCTCCGCTCGGGGGATTCGGCGATATTTCCCCCAGTGATGATATTTTCCTCGGGGCAAAGCCCCTCGGAGAATATCATCACTTCGGGAAATATTACGCCGAATCCCCCTCGCTCCGGGTCTATAAATGATAAATATTCACCTCGACTTCGTCTCGGCGAATATTCCCCGATAATCACCTCGCCTTCGGCGAATAATTGTTAATTATTTTTAAAAAAAAACAAGTCAGTACGCCAAATACAAAAACAAATCAGTAGGCCAAATACATTATTTCCAAATGTATTATTCTGTCATCAAATCGAAACGAATAATACAAAAACGATTTTGAATCACATAACTTAAAGAGTCCTGGTCAACCACAATGCAATGCGTGCGTTTGTTTACGTTCCTGCTACGTTGTGGGCCAGAGGCAGCCATTTTTGTGGCATCGAAAATGGCGGCAACAATTGAGAAAAGTAACGGGAGAACGTAAACAAAAGCGCGCATGGCATTGTGGTTGCCACGACTCTTTAACTGCTATATGCATTCCTATAGGTTATATGAGGACAATGATTTTGCGAAGCTAGACTTCTGTTTTAGTGCATACCTCATTGAGCAAATTATACAGCACTAATTTTGAATTTATTATTATTATACGCTCACATACAATTGACCAATCAAGAATCTTTAGTAGGATCACGTGCCTGTACGTCAGACATTTTACGATGTAGGACAGGGGCATATTGGTCAATTGCGGATCTTGGTCTTTTATGGGTTTTAGTTTTCTGGTTTATTAAACCATTTCAGTTGTTTTGTAAATTTCAAACACACATGACAAATGATATAGTCCGTGTGTTGTGACCCGATACCGTTCACTTTCATTAAGCATGTCTTAAATCTGAAATATTTTGACGGGAACTAACACTTTCAAGCACGCTGAGTTCAAATCCGAAAAGTTCCCACTCCGTAGACCCGCAGTTTTCTCATAAAATGTTATTTTATCAATAATTTCACGACAAATTTTCATTGTTCAACGACACGGATCGATGACGATACACGATTATGTCACTCAAAAGGCCAGTCTTCCTTTTAACAAAAGACCGGTTTTGCTCGAATCATTTTGAGTTATGCATGCAATCTAGTGCGTGTTGGACGTAAACAACATACCTTGTCTGAAACTTTGAGAAAGTACAAATAACGCTTTCTAAAATCCTCAGTTCTAGAGATATCTCTATAAAATCACAAAGACATTAATGCAAAGTATTTTGGCCATGTCACTGGCCTGAAAAATAACTCTTTTAACGCGATCAAGGTATTTAAAACAAAAGTAACGCGAAGCCAACGTATGATGGCAAAGACAACGCTAAAATGAAATATTGTCGACTGGTTGCTGATAGAACACTTACGACAGGATAAATCATACATAACCTTAAACTATAAGAATAAATGTTCACATCAAAGACAAAGATCAGTCCCAAAGTATAAAATATGCTCTGTAAACTTACGACGAAGTGGAGAAATTCAACGTATATGGAAGCCCTCTTTCCAATAATATTCGCTTAATTATCGCACAGTATAACACCAACTGATGTAATAGTTCAAATGCAATGATAAGTTAGGGAGTATCATTATTTATGGGGAGGGGGGGGGGGGAAATGGGGAAAATAAGGATTGAAAACTTTTTTGACTCCCCCTCCAGACTGACATCCCCCCTCATAAAAGTAGAAACTTTTCTGACCCCTCCAGTGTGGATTGAAAAATTAACAACAATGAATTCGAACAGGTGTGCGTTGCATGAAAGTTAGATATTAGGACAATCTGTTTAATCTAGCTCACGATGTTTTACCCTGGTGAATATGATTCAACCATATATGATTAAAAAATATATATTATGTGTTACTACTTTGCAATGCAACATTTGTCCTACCATAACCCTAACCCATGACCTGTCTTCATACAGCGAAATGATTTGAACACAGGGTTTTTTTAAGAACTTGTCTGGGGGGTGGGCATCTACAAAAAGGGACCATACTATATTGAGTGTTGGAGAGATGACAGATGGTTGTTGGTGACAAAAGGTTTGGTGTGGTATCGTATGGACTAGTTGGGAGGTCTGGGGGTATTCTCCCCCAGAACATTTTTTGTATTTTTCCACCTCTAGAACTGAAATGTGAGCATTTTCTGAAACAGATTTTTGGATATACAGCGTTACATTGTGCATTGATAGACCGAATCTGATCAGTTAAGTGTACTTGCATGGTATGTTTATGTAAATACCACAACTGGGTCACTCAGGGGTAGAAAGATTGTTAAACTTAGTGGGCCCGACTCCCACGATCGCGAGGCGCTACCATGGTTGGCGCCGAGCAGGGAAATTTTGAAAATTTTGAGTCTCTAGATCGTCGGAAATAGCATTTTCAGAGTCTTCTTTTTTGCTGTTTGTGATTATAGAAATCAGAACTCTAGACATGGTATTTAAGTTCAAAAACTTTTATGACCCCCCTTTCTCTGTGTTAAAACTTTTTTGACCCCCCCTATTTATAAGGGTAAAACTTCGTTTGCCCCCCCTCCCATTTCCCAATTCCCCCTCCCCATAAATAATGACCACTTCCTTATCTCTTGAATTACATCTCAGAAAATGGGTTGGAAATTTAAATGCTGATCCATTACATATAGATTACCGTTTTACATCGTTGTATAAAACATTTTGATCGCATGTAAGGAATCATTTCTCAGCCCAGAGACTTAGCCCAAAGACTTAACATTAACGTGCTTGTAATCTTATAGAGATAGATCCAGACTAAGGATATTAGAAGGAATTATCTGTACCTTCTCAAAGTTGTAGACAAGATATGTTGTTTACGTCCAACACGCATGAGATTGCATAACTCAAAATGATTCGAGCAAAACCGCCGGTCTTTTGAAGGAAGAATGGTTAATAGAAATTGGTCCTTTTGAGTGACATAATCGTGTATCGTCATCGATCCGTGTCGTTTAACAATGAAAAAACTTGCTGTGAAATTAGTGAAGAAAAAATAGCAGTTTGTGAGAAAAACTGCGAGTCTATGGAGCGGGAACTTTTCGGATTTGAACTCAACGTGTTCGAAAGTGTTAGTTCCCGTGAAAATCAATTTCAGATCTAACTAAGACATGCTTAATGAAAATCGTTTTCTATAGGCACTTTTCGTGGTCACAACACACGGACTAATATGGCAAAGTAACGAAAAAGATTTGGAACATTAAGACCATTCTGTCTACCAGCTTTGTTTATTTAACATTATAACTTGAGCGCGTGAAAACGTGTCTTCGCGAATTTGAAATTCACTGAAGTGTTTATACAATAGTCGTGAGGTTAGTAATATATAATTAGGTAAATCATTGCTTTAAACATACTTAATGAATGGAATTGAGTTTTTTTAAAGATCAGTTGTCTGCCAAAAACTAGGTTATTAACTTTTTTGTTTAGTTATTTAAGCAAATGGACAATGTGCATTATAGTAGCAATGTCTACTATGCATACATGACGGTAGGAGTCGTCCCCTATATAGCAGTCGAACGAAATAGCGACTCAGGAGGAACGATATGGGATGTTGCTTTGAAGATGAAATTGTTGATTTTTAACAATTTTCCATCCATCAATAACTTTTACCCCAGGAAAATAACAAAAGAGATCAGAACTACATGTAGGTGTACTTTCATGACGTTACGTGTATTAATAGGGAAGGAAAGCATGCATAATTGGCAGGGATGCGACTTGTCAGTATGTTTTGCAAACAAATTTCTTGCAAAAAACTAATCTCAATAAAACTTTCCCTGACAGTTGTTTATTCTGAGTCACTTGGTTATTTAGATTCGATAATTTTGTAAATGCCATTCTAAGCTTTGTGAAATTGACAACCTTGGTCATGATTTACTTGAATGTTCGAGGGTTTCATCCAGAGACCTTTTGTCACTTTAACGACGTTTCTAAGCTTAAATTTCCTCGACTTAAATAAATTGTCAATAACCATAGAAGCAATATTTAAAAGTTTTTTTCTTTCTTTAGGATCGCCATTTTCTTATGCTTTACGATCGTTGTTTTCTTATTCTTTAGGATCGTTATTTTCTTTAGGATCGTTGTTTTCTTATTCTTTAGGATCATTGTTCTCTTATTCTTTAGGATCGTTATTTTATTTTAATTTGGATCGCTGTTTCCTTATTCTCTAGGGTCGTTGTTTTCCTATTTTTGGATCGCTTTTCTTTAGGATCGTTGTTTTCCTTTTCCTTTAGGATCGTTATTTTCTTTTCTTTAGGATCGCTGTTTTCTTATTCTTTAGGATCGTTATTTTCTTTTCTTTAGGATCGGTATTTTCTTATTATTTAAGGCTTTATTAAGACATCTAAAAATATCATTAGTAATTAATTGTTTAATATAAGTGTATAGTCTAATAAGTATCAGTGACAGTGTATTTCTTTGTTAAGAACATTTAGTGTTTGTTTTTTGCATGTTTCTCTTGATAACTTTATTAAGACTATTAGTTAGTTGCTTTCTTGATGTACGAACTGCCGAAGTTCATGCTTGCAGTTTTAGCCGAGCATGATCTAACTTTCGGTTGTTCGTACATGGAGAAAGTGCCAAATATTGTCGTGTTTATAATGTTACTTGTGAGTTGTCACTTGTCAACAACAGGAGGAGTGTCCAACACTTAGTCAGATCAAGTATTGTTTAGAATCAAAAACGACATTGAAAACGTCGAACAAGGAACTTGCAGCTCTTGCAAAGGAACTACCATTCTGTTTCATTGGAAATGATGGAGTGCTTCGCCGTAAAAGCAAAGACGGAAAAGTGCAGATCATAGTTCCCCAAAAGTTGACCTCCAGAGTTTTGAAGATGATGCATGATGACCAAGGACATTTTGGCTATTCAAAAACATTAAAGCGGTCGCACTCATCGCAGGAAAGGTATTTTTGGCCAAAAATGTCTTCTCAAATAGACGAGTGGTGCAAGAAGTGTAGAGTCTGCCAACAAAGACGAAATCCAGTTCCAGCAAACAGAGCACCACTACAACCAATTACGACACGGCGACCAGGAGAACTTGTAACTATGGACATCGTAGAATATCCATTAAGTCCTTGGGGATATCGCTACTGCCTCGTAATGATTGACCATTTTACGAAATGGTTGGAAGTGTTACCCCTAAGGAATCAGAAAGCAGAAACTGTGGCAAAAAAGGTGTTTGATGGGTGGATTCCAAGACATGGCGCCCCATAGCAACTTCACCATGCCATGATCAGGGAAAGAACCTATCGGCAAAAATTATTGAAGAAGTCTGTAAGTTCCTGGAAGTTTGGAATACGCGCACTACACCATTCCATCCCCAATCAGATGGCGCTTCGGAGAGAAGTATCCGCACGGTGAACAACATGTTAGCAAAAGTAGTTGCAGATTACCAAAGAAACTGGGACTTATACGTATCTTCGTCATGTTTTGCGTACAACACTGCGGTACATAGCAGCACCGGATTTACGCCAAGTTATTTAGAGTTTGGAAGGGAGCTTCGGTTGCCGAACGACCTTGTGGAGCCAGGTGAAAATGAGAGACGTGTCGTATCACACACAGACTATGCTCAACAGCTAAAGAACAGACTATCAAAAGCGTTTCAAATCGCGAATGACATTCTTCACTCTGCACACAAAACACAGAAACATTTCTATGATCGATGGGCAAGGGCCAACGTTTACAAGGCAGGAGGAGATCTAGTGTTGTGGCTTGATAGGAAAACCAGACGAGGAAGGTGCATGAAGTTAAACAGACCTTGGACAGGACCGTGGAGAATAATCAAACGACTGGGAGAAGTTGTGTACCGGATAAAGTACGAAGGAAGCGAGAAAGTTAGCGTCAAGAGACGAGTTGTCCATCACAATCAATTGAAACGGTTTCATGACGTCCGAGAACCTGACATGGCGGATAATAAAACCGTGGTTCCAGAGAAAGAGTTGAGCGACTCGCCAGAAACTGATGATGCAGCTGTTGTAGTCATTGAAGGTCCAGATGTTGCCGCTCCAATTGAAGACGCAGAACAAGATAATGATAATCTGGCTGAGCAACCTGAACCAACTAACGACAATGAGAGACCACAGCGAGAACGAAGACCTCCAGAATGGTTTGTTAACTATGATATGAACTTTTAAAAAAACTGTGGGACCTATAGTTTTATCTAAAGGGAGGATAGTGTAAGGTATGGGCTACCTGTAGCGGACATGCGCAGTAACAGACAAAATGGAGAGCATGTTGAGATTCTAGTTTGGTTGTTTTCGACTGTTTTAAGACATGTAATAACCTTTATTAGATTGCTATAATAGACATAATACTATTCGTCGTATTGTTATTACATTCAGAAGATGTTCTGAAAGTGAGTTTACCGTTTCCGAACCATACGACTCCCATGTTGACTTCTCTAGTATATCCTCAAGTATTATAATTATAATTATTATTATTTTTGTATTTTACTCAGATGCCTTACGCCTGACAGTTTTACTCGTCTGAAACAATCTGATAATTGTGCTCTAATGGGATAATACCTATAGCCAATAAAATTATCATGCTAGTTCAGAGCACAGATGAACGAGATTGCATGTATTCTACAATAGGCTTTCCTGACTTTTGTATGATAAAGTTCTACTTCTCGTATTTGAATTACTGTATTACATATACAGGCGAGTGTATGAAAAATAAACTGAACAGATTTGAATTTGCTCTCAATTTTGCAAAACAGCTATTAGTATACAGTTTTGGATGTATAGAGCTCCTTTGGGTACTTGTAATGTAGAATAATGAAAAACATTCCTCGAACTCAAATTTTGTTGACTACGCGGTGTGTCTTTTCCAACAAATTAAAAATGGCTCGCGCACAAAATTTAAAAGTTGTAATCATATTTTGAGTTAATAGATGGAAAATTTGTCGGGTTTTTAATTACTGTACAAAATTTCAGACAATTTGCTTTAGTTTAAGCCCTTTAACTATTCACGCAAACTTACATTTTTTTCCTAAAAATCAGCTATTTGCTGCTTCATTATAATGCCTTTGCCTAATTTGCATATGTCAGCAATATGCAAATTAGGTAAAGGCATTAATTAAGCATGCGAAAGGCTGAAGTTTTTAGGAAGAAAAGAATAGCTAAAGGCTTAAACTAAAGCAAATTGTCTGACATTTTGTACAGCAATTAAAAACCCAACAAATTTTCCATCTGTTAACTCACAATATGATTAAATTTTGTGCGCAAGCCATTTTTAGTGTGAAGTTTCTTCGAAACTTCACAGTATTGTGATGACTGGGGGGAAATTCACACAGATCAGTCATTCATTCATTCATTCATTCATTCAGTCATACAGTAAACTTTCCGGGGGGTGTATACGATATATGTTCGTAGTGATTTATCGTACTTAGTCAGTGCTTTGAAGGTTATATAGGCAATTTCAGTTAACTTATTTACAAATTCTGTTATCCTTTTGCCAAGTTCACAAAAATATCGAGGAATCGCTTTCGTTATTGCAATTTTTTGTAAATTTTAGAACATTCGCTTCTCATGTTGTGCAAAGGATCTTTACCCCGGAACACCCGATTTTTTTCTTTAGTAGCACAAATGCGCATGCGCTATCAAGCCGTAGATCACGATGGCGTGACGATATGCAAGGAAGGAGTGACAATGTAGTTTTCAGATGTATAAACATTTCAGACGTGAATATTGAGTAAATCTTTGAAAATCTACGCAAAATATAAATTGATCTTATGCATTATGGGCGTTCAATTAAGTTCCGATAATATTTAGACGGTATATTTGTTATACAGAGCTAGGAAGGAGTTAGACCGCCTAGTACAGTGCAGTCAAGTGCATAAACATTTCAGACGTAAATATTGTTATATTGAGTCGAAAATCTTTGAGATTCTAGGCATTCAATTGAGTGCCGATATTATTTTCACGGCATACTCATTATACAGAGGTACAGTACGTAGGCAGAAGCGAGACA